ATTACCAAATAATAACTTAATCAACTAATTTTATATAGAAAAAAATAATTATATACCAGTTTAAATATAAAAATTAATCGTAACTTCAATAGTTTCCAAAAAGAAATAAAAAAAACTATTAAACAACAACTAATTTGTTTTAAAAGGAAAAAAGTAAAATCAAAAATATAAGAATGGATAGATATCTATATATTAATTTAAATAATAGTTAATTGGAAATAAAATAAACTAGAAACATTCTAACAGATTTGGTAGTCTCACAACATAGAATTGTGATTCCAATTTTAGAAAAAGGAAAAAGAAATAGTAAAAAAAATTAAAATTAAGGTGGGAGTCATTCAACAGGTATCATAGTCATTTATAATGAGAGAAAAAGCAAGTGTCATGTCTAGCCGTGCTTGTAGAGTTAAAAAGCAATATTATATCATCATATTAGAATATTAACTATGCATCGACTCTTGAAACATTTTCACTCTGTATATTGACTTACTGTTCATCTTCTACATAGCCTCTCTGGTTTTGCACACTTTTTCTCTCCTCTGTACACAGTCTCTTCTCCATATCTGTGTGATTTCTTCATTTCTATTACTACTTGCCTCACTTGGCTTACTAATCTTTCATTTCATATACTAAACTCACACATTATAGAATCATTGGCAACTGAGTTGAATTGCAAATCACATGATTTAATTCCGATTCAAACTCCAATATGCGTGTCCTAAGATTTGACTGTGTTTGACCTGATGCACCGTGTCAGACACAGGGTGTCGTATGCGTGCTTGTGTCGCAAACACTTCTGAAGCAGGGAAGTGCAGCAGGGAAGCAGGATGGAGCCGTATCCAAGCTTCATAGACCTTGACTAGCATGATAGTCATTTATTAGAAATCTTTGAAGCTCAGACATGCCTCTTTAATGGTGTGTCCCTACGTCTGACATGTATTAAACATTGACAAGTGTATGACACATACCAAACACTCTGCTGAAATGCCTAGTTTTAGAAAAAAAAATAAATTTGGGCTCTGATATGGCTTTAACACAATGTTAATGAGGGTAGACCCGATGATTTGTTTTATAAGTTAAAATTTTAGAATAAGTTTCTATTACAATTGTAGAAATAAGGAACATATCCCATATAATCATGGACATTTAGATTGTTATGTATTATTAGGAATGTTTTTATCTATTCTCCTATCATATCTTCATATAATGTGGAAATGTTTTTATCTATTCTCCTATCATATCTTCATATAATGTGGAATTATTTTAAGTTGTTAATTTGTCTTTATATGAATCTCGGATAGAGTGTTTTTTTTTTTCAATGATGATGATAATCAAGAAATGGGTGAAATGTCTTAAATCAGTTAGATTTTTTCTTCACTTTTTGGACTTTAGATTAATGGACTAGATTCTTTTTTGTGCTTGGTAACAATATGTTCAAATAATATTTGACTAAGTTTTTCTATAGATGATTTTGAATATATAAATCTTGATTATCAATGTTCACTTATATATATGTGTGTCTATGTCTAATTCATGCTCTCAAAACCGGCTTGTAAGTTAAGTTTTGCATCCTCTTATATACGGTAAACAGACATTATTTCTGGCTAATGTGAGATCTCCATAAAAAACTTTAAAACTTATGAATGTAACAGGTTGGTGATTAACGTCACCTATATTAGAAATTGATACAATTCTGGTTAATGAAGATTCATGTGGTTGACCCTAAATTTCTAATTCATCTTGATGTTTGATGATATGATGGCAATGCAACTTTTGGAATTAAATTAGTAAGTAGGGGCTATAAATATGAATGTTGTAGTACAGCCTCTCTGTTTTTCTTACTATGATGTGAACTCCTTATGTATAGTTATATTTTACGTACGTCAGTCTTTTGACAAGTTAGGTCAGGTGGCAGTTGCTGAGCTGTTGTCTTTTTGACAGGTAGCAGCTGTTGTCTTTACTGAAGATTTGAAAAAATTGTATGTGACAATGAAAGAAGGTTTTCCATTGGAATTTGTCGTAAGTTACTTCAAAATTGTTACTGGTGATCAGAAATCTCAAATCTCTCTCCAAGGTTCTCCAGCTGGCATGGACATGCGATTGATTAACATAGCTCTTATTTGGTAGGTTGATATCCCTCTCGATCCTCATCTGTTTGAGATTATTACGAGTTCTGGAGCTGAAGTAGATCTCCTTCAGAAGCGACAGATCCATTATTTCATGAAGGTTGTGATTGCTTTAGTACCTGGAATACTGATTCTCTGGCTTATAAGGGAGTCTGTGATGCTTCTACACATCACTTCCAAGAGGTTTCTTTACAAGAAGTATAATCAACTCATTGATATGGCCCGAGCAGAAAATTTCATTATGGTAAACTTTTGATCTCCTATATTCTGTGGGAAATAGACACAACTAAAATTACAGCACAAGGGTTGTTTTTTCCACAAAAGGACAACAATATATATTCTGTTTAGTCATTGAATTATTCTTGTAAATGAGATCACTATATGTCAATTTTTTAGTAAAAAAAGGCATACCATTTTGAAAGAAAAAGCTATATAAACTTAACCTTATTCCACTATTTTGATGGATTGCTAGTTAAATTCTGCTGTTCTTTGGTTTTGGATGAGAGAGACACATATTTTACTTCAAATACAGTCAGTGTAGCAATGCTTTCCTCCCGAGATGTTGAACTTATTATATACAAATTGAATCCTGTATCTGCATCAAATTTTGGAATTGATTTTACCTTGCTGCTTTTCTACTGGATTTTGTTACTAGTTATGTTCCTCTACTTTCAGCCAATTGGAGACGTTGGTGAAACAAAGTCAATGTACAAGGAAGTTGTGTTGGGGGGTGACGTTTGGGATCTTCTTGATGAGTTAATGATCTATATGGGAAATCCTATGCAGTTCTATGAAAGGGGTGTGCAGTTTGTTCGGGTAAAACATTTGATATTTTTAAAGCTAGTAATCCTCCTCATGGCTATAAATGTTATAATTGACATGAAATGAGGTAAGCTGTTTGATGAGAGCACGTTGCAGGGTGTTCTACTTTCTGGACCTCCAGGAACTGGAAAAACATTGTTTGCCAGGACACTTGCAAAAGAAAGTGGATTACCTTTTGTATTTGCTTCGGGTGCTGAGTTCACTGATAGTGAAAGAAGTGGTGCATCTAGGATAAACGAGATGTTTTCCATTGCTAGGAGAAATGTAAGCAATGAAACCCTAGCTACTTCTAATATCAAATACAAGTTAAAATGGCAATCATGGTCCGATTTAAAGTTCTGTTGCTTGCACTTAGTTAGATATGCTCATTCAAGGCGATTGATCCATTTTTAGA